TAACATTTTAAATTATTTTAAATTTAATTATTTTTATCTTATCTATTAATATAGACTACATGCACACCTTGTTCTCGCTTCTAATAACTGATAAATATTTATAACTAAATATATATTTGAAATGAAATATGTGATTACATTTATTTTTTTTTTTAACAAAATAAATATATATCCTAAAATATATTTTATACATTATAACAGTAAATAAAATATTTTTAATTAGATTACATTTTTTGCATTATTTTGTAACCTCTTACCCCTTGTTCTGTTATCTATTAATAGATTAGTTATACAAAATACTAAATATAGTTTTATATAATTAAATATTTATAAATAAAATTTAATGTAATATAAATAAAAAAATTGCATTATTTTGTCAGCTTGTACACCATGTTCTCACCTCTATATAAAACGAATAATATATTTCTTAACCGAATATTTTAAATTGTTCTTTATAAAATATATTTTAAAATAATTTTGTAACCTTGTACACCTTGTTCTCTCCTCCTTTTCACTCTCATCCTTCTGTCTCTCTCCTCACAGGCAACAGCAAGAACAGACGGCAGAGCATGCTGTTTTAAGCTGCGTTCCCTCCTGCTCTTGCCCATCATCACTCTCACACAAGTACACACACACACACACACTTGACGGATCAGTTTGACAGCGCTTATTCCGTGACTGTGTTGTATAGACTAACAGATTTAGCCCCCCCTCGCTCACAGAGAGAGGGTGATTGTCGTGTGTGCATGCGTGGTGAAGGGGATAGGCCGAACCCGCTGTCCCCCCCCCCAGTGTCCCGCCATCCAGCATGCAGCCTTGAGCCAGAACACCCATCGGCCCCTCGTCTGGATGCCCTTTCCCCTTCCCTCGTGTGACGCTTAGGGTGTGCGAAAGTGTGAACGCGTATATATTTATTGACAGAGGGGTTGTTTTGCTGCTAATTGACTACTGTCTTGATGTAACTTCCTCACTCTTGGGTGACCCTCCCAGTTGTTGCAGACTCATCAGTCCCACGTTTTTGTTTTGTTTAAAAAGAACGATTATAATTCTGTTGAAAAATGTTGATATCGCAGCTGTCTTTGTCGTGATTTTACAGAGGTGTAATGCCTATACGTGTGTTTTGAATTTGCTTTTGGTTTTCCTGGCATGATGATTGCGCTTCAAACCGAGCGACGCTCAAAATATTAATTCCAAAACCTCAAATTTTAACTTATCATTTCAAGAAATATGTGGATTTGTTCCTCAAAGGCCACGTCAAGCAAACCAGGGACCATCTCGACCAGGTGGGCTTCAGAAAGACGCAAAACGAGGGTGGGAAAAAAAACAAACACTGGACCAGCAGGAACTTTGCCACCTCACCGTTTTGAACTGAAAAAAGGATCTCTCCTTTTGCATTCATTCAGAGCGATCCTATTGGAACTGAAGTGCTTGTATGCAAGATGTGTTTTTAATTTTTCTTTTACCGTTAAGAGCTCCTGAGGCATCATCAAAACCAGTTTCTTCTATTAATAGAGCTCCTCTGTAGCTTCTGAGTGTATGCGACGCTTGTAAAAGAGCGAGAAAGTGAGGTTGTATGTGTGAAAATGGAGAGCTGTAACTGTACAGAGAGCCCTTTGCTCCATGCAAGCGATGGCTATGAAGATAGTTTCATTAACAGTATTAAGAGTTTTTTTTTTATTTTTTTTTTTTAAATGTTACATATTGACCCTTCTTTGAATAATGGTATCTTAATGTGGCATGTTGGGGTCCGACTGTTCCACATTTGTGCTTGATTTTATTCAGAAGAGAAAACGATATTGTGTGTATAAAAAGAAAAAAGTAATAATGAAAAACTTTTTGACAGCAGCATTGGACCAATTTATTTTTTCCCAGCATTTATAAACATGAAGAACGCAGAAGATATCAGATTTTAGATGACTGTTGTTGTTTTTTTAACTGACAGATGTTGATTAATATTGTCAAATCGGAGTCGATTGTTTCTGGAGACGCGTGCGTGGGTGTGTGCGTGATTGCGTGTGTGTATACGTGACGCATGGAGTGCGTGTTGTCCTGTAAGCTCCGCCTCCGTGAAACACTGACGCTCACAGTTCTTTGACTCTTTGTAGTGCAGATATTTATTTCTCTTAATCAGTGAAGTAAACATGGTCTGTTTCATACAGCGAACTCTGTCGTCTGTTTATTATGTTTGTGTGTCTGTGTGCATTTCTTCCCGAATGCAAGGTGTTCGTTCAGACGCGAGAACGTTGCGTCGCATTCAATGCTTTTTATTTTAAAAACAAGGCACATTTTATTGACTCTTGAAAAGCAAAAAAATATAAAAGCAATACGAGAATACATTTTTTAATCAATTCATTCATGAAAAATAAAACCGAAGCTATTACAAAGCTTTTCTTTCCAATATTGAAATGGAATTTCGTCTGTTACAAAAACGTATTTAAGCAGGAAAATAATACAAATACACAATTCTTACACTCACAAAAAAGGCACAGCCGGTATTTGAAGCACAGTGCATACAACGCAATATTATACAATACATTACAATACCAGACAAACAACAAACGAACAGAAACCCGGTTCACAGCCTCGGAAAGATTAAAAAAGACTTAAATGCTAATGAGATTCCTTTAATATGGTTTAAACGTTTCCTCTTTCTGAACTGGTCGACAAAACGGGAGATCTTTCCAGTTGAAGCACCTTAGGAATGGAGAACAGGAGGGGAACGCTGAAGTTTTCCTTTAGAGGAGGTACAGAACGTCTACGCTGTTTTGAACGTGTTTTACGTCGTCCAGCATCGTTTGTCTCTATCTGAAATTGAGATTATGAAAAACAACTTGCCAAAAAGGCCAGTCTTGAACATGTTCTCCAGGATACAGCTTCTCTAAGGCTCCGTTTCCAATCACTCACCATCTTCTCAAAAGGACACTTCATGTTCTTTGGCATTCCCTCGTGGTAATTCCCTATTTTAAGAGCTTGCGGAGGAATTTTGGTGAGCTGTTTGGATTGCAGCCGAGTTAAAGAAGAAAACGCACAGTTTGCTGGTCCAAAATTCAACAGAACTGAAGGGCGCTATAGGTATAGGTGGCCACAAGGGGGTGAAGTGCAGTCTGGCTCAAAAATGACATGAAGGTCCATAATTCCGCCTTAGTGTAATAGCAAAGTTATAATTCTGGGGAGGGGATATGTGATGAGTCCAGAAATCAGGATTTCTGGGCGCTGGAGGACAGGAGGAGAGAGGAGGAGGATGAGGAGGATGAAGAGGAGTCCAGGTTGGGGAGGGGTACCGGCAGCGGCCCGTTCAGCAGGGTGGGGAACTGTGAGAGTCAGAAAGCAAACAGAACATTAAGGTAATGCTACACATGCTGAATCACAGTCTTCATATGTTATATATATCTAGTAACTACACAAGAGCTTTGTAGTGTTAAAAAAAAAAACATTGAAATGATTGTATCAGGAAACATCGTCTAACGGTAACAGTAGAATGACCAGGCCAAATAATAGTTCACATCTTAATGGTTAAATATTATCAAGAAATATCCAGTTATTATTTAATGGGATTTATTATTATTATTATTTTGAGGTTAAATACTACCTGGGCATTTCCTTGTATGCAAAATGTAGTATTATTATTATTATTTATAACAATAATAATAATACTTAAAATTTTTACTGCTTTAATTTTGATTTTGAGTTTAAATATACCTGCATTTCATTATTATTATTATTAGTAGTAGTATTAATTAATTTATTTATTTATTTAGAGGTTAAATGGACATGTGTCCTTATATGTATTAGTAGTAGTAGTATTGTTGTTATTTTAATTATGTATAAATGTTTATTTATAATGCTTATTTTATTTTATTTTAACCTAATGATGATAAATATAAAGAAACAAATAAAATTAAGCCTGTAGGGCCGATTTTAGCACTGATGACATTTTCAGGACATTTTCCCCTAAAAATCTTGTTCCCATAATACAATAATGAATTATTTACCTTATTCTTTTATTTTTAAAAATACCATAAATTTAGTACAACAAATACCACCATAAAGTATACTTACAACTGGGCTTCAAAAAAAAAAAAAAAAAGAGAAAACCTGGGCATTTCTTAAAAGTTTCTGTAAATATCTCCCTAATACACCTCAGTGAGGGGGAAAAAAACCTGTCTTTGTGGTTCACAAAACAAACACGCTCGTAGTCCATCACGGTAGCGCTAGGAGAGGAACTTCCTGTTATGTGAGAGCTGACTATACACACAGACACAGAGTCTTTTTCAGTTATCACCCCCCTCCCTTTTTGAACAGGAAGCTGTTTTTCTCCCATATCCAATGCAGAGCGGAAACATCTGTAGCTTATTTCCAAACCCTAATACACACACACACACACACACACACACACACACACACACACACTCACACACCAGTAAATCCATTTCCCGGATTGACTCAAAAGCATCTTTTTTTCCTGGTATATATTTTACAGGTATAGAAAATCGACACAAAAAGCCCCAAAGAAGAATTGAACTGTGAAAGAAAAAAAGCCAGACATGCCACAAAAGTTTTCCACTGCAGCCAATAACAGCAGGAACGACAGTCATGTGACCAACCAGAAAACTCCCACTATGGCCGCCCAGGGAGGAAGTGAGAGTGGGGGAGTGAGTGTACGTCTGTCTCTGTGTGTGTGTGTGTGTGTGTGTGTGTGTGTGTGTGGGGTAGTAAAAGTGCACATCACGAACTGTCACAATTCCTGTAAAGGCAGAGCCAAGCAGTCGCCGTGGTTACCTTAATGGTTTCCTGCTGCTAGCGATGTTTACCGTAAAGACAGGACCCTCCCCTCAAAATGCAAGATGAGCATAAATACACAGTTTGCGTTCTGTCTTTTTCACTCTCACACACACACATCTCCCTACACGCTCACTCTCCCCTGGGCCAGA